CTCCACTGTTTACCAGATATGATCCTTAAAGATTAAACCAAATGGAACTGGAATCCTCTGGGATTATTGAGAGTGGTCAGTTAAAGCAGGGGGATTCATGGAATAAAAACAAGATCAGCCATTTCCCCCCACCTCTTTCTCAAATATGCTGTTTTTTTTCCTCCTTTAGCATAAATCCCTCTGATGTCAAGTTTTAGCCCGAAAGCAGTATTTTTACTGAGGAATTATAAAACCCTCCGAGTAGTAGACTGTAATTGATCTGCCCTCCGAGTTTTAATTTACAGCAGTATTTGGAAGGCAGAGTAATCAGAAAATTAATGTGGAATGTAAATGGAAGCAGAGGGCAAGATATTTGGATATTTTGACGATGGGTGCCATAGTAAATCCTCTGCCAGACAGATGGATCAGGCTGGGAACTTTAATATGATCTTACAAGGTGATGGGTCATCTGCTGTTACCCCTTCTGCTGTATCCTGCTCTTACTGCAGTCCATTTTCCTTGTCCAGTATCACCATAAGGCCTTGTCCTGATAAATCTTTCACATAACTTAGTCCTTTCACGGACACTTGCATTGCAAGATTGGATCTAAAGAATACCCACATGCTAACCGTTACAGACCTCTGTGCAGAGCATAAATTAACTTCCTGTGTGCAAGGATTCAACATGCATTAGCCCAAGACCATACTTAAAAAAACCATTTAATTATATAAGTTGGGTTGACAGGTTACTTGCGTTATACACTATTACAGCAGCATATTTTCAATAAGGCAACGATGTGGTTATGGTTCATTTGTTTTTATACATTAGAATACAATTAATCTTCAAGGATCTCTCCCTTCCTTCTCCTGTTGTCTGTCCAGGGGCACTTTCTTGTTGTTGCAAGGTGATGGATTTGATGATTTAGTAGATTATTTCTGTTTCTAAGTTATATGATCCTGTTTTGTTTTCTTTTTTCACAGACAGCCTCTTTTCTATCTTGTATTCTATCACTGTAATGTCGCCCTTTGGCCTTTCCCCCCCACCCCTCCCTTTCATCTGCCTCCCTTCCCTACTTTACCTTTTGTCTTTCTAATTTCTACCTATTTACATGCTCGCTGACATCCTACCACACTTTTAGCTTCTTTCATCCCTTGGTGTCTCAGACCAGCAGAGACTGCCTATACCTGAAGAAGAGTGATTGCACCTGAAAGCTTGCTAAGAACTTTTTTTTTCGCAGCTATTCAGTTGGTCTAATAAAAGATATCACTACTCAAAAAACCTTGCCTGCCTTAGTATCAGATATGCCTTTTTACCTTTAACTGATGAGATTTCAAATTGGTGGGACCCTGCTAAACCAACTGTAACGGCTCACATGTCTAACTCTTCATCAGGAGTCAGCAGCACTTTCGAAGAACAAAGATCCTGCATCCCAAGAGGACTCATCCTCCTAGCAGTGGACCAAACACTTGCGTCTCATACTGTAAGGAGCACTTTTGTAGAAACCATGCGCATCATTTTCAAAGACAAGCTGAAGTTGTTTGTCGTATACTGGTAATTCTTGAACCATGTTATCTATCCTGAACCTCTTCAAGGTTGGAGACAAAAACTGGGTTTGATTTTTTCATTAGAGTTTAGTGCCATCTTGTGGAAATCCAACAATTTGTTCAGATACGTCAAAGCCTTTGTTCCTGTGTGTCAGTAATGGAAAGTTTTGTACCGGGGTGAGCAGAAAGAAAACATGGGAATGCTCTTTAGGTAATTAGTTTGTTTTTAACTTGCTTAATTTCCAAGCCCAATTCAAGTTAGGATTTGTCATTTTGTCATCAAAGGACTACATTCAAGAGCGTGAAGGAAGCAGCTGAATGGTCACGTGTTTATCAGATCAGCTGAAATAAGGAGCATATAAATATGCGGTTTAGTAATTTCAAAGCACACAGGTCTATGCTCCTTCCAGAGTGCCAGCAGGGGTTATCTCTGGGCCTTTAGCTTTACCCCGGGCTTTGTTCTCACTGGAATAGTCCCATTGAAGTCAAGAGGCCTGATTCTGCTCTCACACCTTAAAGAAGCTGTGCAGTAGCCACTAAAATTACTACTCCCCCCGCTCAAGTAGCCAGTGATTTCAGTGAATAAGGTAGATTATTGCATTAGACCCAGCTTTATAATCTAACACAATTTTAAGTTTAGGTAAAATTCCTAATGACGTCTGAGAATGTTGCCCAGGAGCAGGCTGCAGTATTAGTTCTCAAAGGGAATATCCCCATCAATATAATTAGTTTAAAGATACTGTACCTTTAAACATGAAACTTAAATAACAATCAATAGTCCATATTTAGCAGAAAGGTGCATCAGAGTCTTCAGCCTATAAACATTATCTTAAGGTTGAGGCATAAAAGGAATCTGATTCTGAGATGAAGATGCTGAAGCTATGTTGTACCTGCACTGAACTGACTCAATGTCTAAACAGAGATTTTTCTTTTTGTTACGCTTCTTTGGAGCTTAGGGTATTCAGGTGGTTCCTGAAAAATGTGACTGTTTCAAGAAGGCAGCAATTGAAAGTGGAAATACGTATACGTGTTTTGATTTCCTGTTTGAACGATGCATCGAAGGAAATAATAGAAAGAGGGATCAGCATCAGAACTGTGCGAGTGCAGGAAAACAGGGAACTCCATCCATGTTTGGAAACTGAGCTAAAGGGATAATGCTTGGCACACTCTAAATAGAAGACAGAAGCAGTTAGCCACATTAGTCTGAAGTCAGGCAGAAAGCAGGGCAGAGTACCACCTAATTAGCAGACTAACTCAGAGAGGCACAAGCTTTCATAAGCAGCAGCTTGCCTTGTCATAACCAGGGCCTGGTTTAAATAGCAGGCCCAGCTCATGGCGTGGTGGCTCCTTTAATCATAGAGTTCCTGCCACTGCTATTGGTGGAGGCGTCTATCGGTCCACGTGCTGCTGACCGAACAGGAGGCAAAAAACACAGCATGTTTTAAACCACAGTTTTTGCCTCCTGGCCACCAGAAGCAAGCAGTGAGCAGTGGGGCCAACAGGCCCTTCTACCAAACTCCAAGATTAAAGGAGCCCATCATGCTGTGAGCTGGGCCCGTGATTTGAAGTAGGCCCTGGTCATAACATCTGACCAAGTAAGATGTTGCTTTTGAAAGCTTATGCAGGTTTCCCTCACTTTATGCTGCAGATGCGTTCCTGGAAAACGGCTCATAACTCAAATTCGCATAAAGGGAGCCTACTTTACAATGTAACAAATAGGGATACGTTCCAGGACCTTGACTGTACTGACCCCCAGACCCATTTCTACCACTTTTACAAGACAATTTTGATACTCACCAAGTGCAGAGGGCCCCTCACCAGCTTCTGCAGGGTTCAAAATCTCCAGTTTTGTCTCCACTGTTAGTGAAGTTCTCTTGTGCTTCATTGATGGACATGGGAGAGGGGTAGGAGATAAGCTAGTGGGATGCTTAGACGTCATAATGGGGGAGGCAACTACAGAAACACGTGTCACAGACCACAAGCGAGGAGCACGGATCCACACAGGAGACTATA